CCTTGTCGTTGAATCTAATCTAATTTCCCAAATCTGAAATTTATCTGTCACATTTCTTGATCTTTTGATAACTGAATTTACTACAAAACACAGAAGTTTCTGTTTGTGTGTTTTCTCAAAGTCAAGACATAAGAAAACGTGTAAATCAAACAGGTGATTATGAGTCACAAAGTCTCCAAGAAGTTAGACGAAGAGCAAATCAATGAGCTCCGAGAGATTTTTCGTTCATTCGACCGGAACAAAGACGGAAGCTTAACACAGCTCGAGCTAGGATCACTTCTCCGAGCACTCGGGCTTAAACCGAGTCCAGACCAATTCGAGACACTGATCGACAAAGCCGACACTAAAAGTAACGGACTCGTGGAGTTCCCTGAGTTCGTGGCTTTAGTCTCGCCAGAGATTCTTTCAGAGGAGAAAACGAGGACTCCTTACACGGAGGAGCAGCTTCTTCGGTTGTTCAGAATATTCGATACTGACGGAAATGGGTTTATCACTGCGAAGGAATTGGCTCATTCCATGGCTAGGCTTGGCCATGCCTTGACGGTGGCAGAATTAACAGGGATGATTAAGGAGGCTGATAGCGACGGAGATGGCCGGATTAATTTTCAGGAGTTCTCTAAGGCCATTAATTCTGCTGCATTTGATGATTTGTGGGGATGAGATTTCTTCATTAGTGTTCTCTTCCCTGATTTATTATTTTATAGTTCCTATGATTGTTTTTCAAAATAAATACTTAAGTCAAAGTTCCGGTATCTCTTTGTTTATTTTGATTCTTTTTTTTTTTTTTGTGAAATGGGTTCATACTTTCATCGACCAATACAAAGTGGAGACTGGCGATGTATTAGTAGATGTCATATATTTAAGTGAAAAGATGCATGAACTATTGCAATTATTTATGTAAACAATTGCAACTATATAAATGAAAGTTTTCAATTCTTGATGAATGTAACATTTGTAAAAACTATATTGATGATTGCAATATTTTGTGATAACCATGCTAATAATTACAGTCTTTGGTGATTAACCATATTAATGATTGCAACCCATGATGACTAACCATTATAGCTATTAGTATTAACCATTGCATCTTTTGAATTAACCGTTGCAACTATGGGTTGCAACTTTTCACTTTCTATATAAAGAGATGTAGGCATTGGCAAATGAGATAGAAAAAATCAGAAACTAATAGTTAGTAAGAGAGTAAGAGATAAATAGATTTATTGTTCAAAGATCATCAAAGACTTTGAAGAAACACATATAAGCACTAAAACTCTTTTTGTTTCTCTTGTATCATAGCCTTGAACAAGAGTACGAATTTGATTGTCTTATCCTGCAAAGGGATTTCGTGTAACCCAAGGCTTGGAATAGGGTCGAAATACTTTTTAAGGAAAGTGACCTCGTGCGCAATTCAATCCTTATCCAAGTATATAATTCACAACCTTTTTTCGGGTTACAACCCAACTTAACCAACAGTAGGCACATCTATCATTAACATGGACGCAATTGTGGAAGGCAAAGATATGCTGCTTGGCTAAAAGGCACCGCAAAGGGTGATCTCAACTCACATCAGCTTGGTTTACTTATAGCTGAGCCTAACCTGTTCACCAAGTCTAATATATCCTTAGCTTCTGTCTGGTTTTTATTTTGTTTTGGCTAATGTAGCTCGAAATGATGGGTGACATTCATAGGCGTTCTTGGTCTGATCAATGAAGGAAAATCATACTTTATGATCTTGAATATGAAATTCAATATTGCTCCATAGATATAGCATTATGTTTGGTCTCTACCGAATCGTACAAGCAGAGTACTTTATAGCATTATGATTGGTCTCTAATGAATCGAACAAGCAAAAGTTAACAATATACTTTTAAAACTGTGTGAAGTGCCATCGGTCGTTGTCTGTGGATTGTATATGGCTCAGTGGAATATTCTCAATGAATTCTGCCTTAAGCAGGTCAACCAAAGTCCTAATTATTTGTGTATTTCATGTACATGATGTAGGGTTGATGATTAAAGTGATTTGAAATACTATCTTCAGGTCTCTAACGGACGAATGATCCGTAATGAGATCCATAGATCATTCATACTGATATAGACGATCATGTTCCCTGTTTTAATTTTGATTAGTCCATTTTAACCAGAGATAACTGAAACAACAATACTATGCCAACGATATGATGACAAGTATGATCTTATTGGTTCCATAGGGTTAGTGTCCTGAAATACCGGTCTTTAAAAATCCTGACAAACAATGAGTTGCCTTTTTCAGTTAGGTGCCAAATTTGTTTTCCAATACAACTTAAATTCCATCAAGGCCTTAAATCTTATTCATACATCGTCTTTATGGTTGCATAATTATCCCAAGCAATCTAATGCATGTTCATTATATTTCCTCATGTATTCCACCCAAATTGGTTATTAACAAGACATAATAAGGTTTGGCATTACTATCATCACTAATTTAATGAATATTTTTTTCCGTCTTTCACAAGACATCTAAATGCCCACCCAGTCACTATATATACTATGCATTCTTTCTCAGGAACCAAAAATTTGTATTTTTGATCTTACTAAATTTTCTAAGATTCCCAGCTGTGATCTCATTCCTCCTATGTTTTGAATCTGTAAGATATCCTACATTTTTTTTTATGAGCTGTGTCATCAGCTCTATGACAAACTGTCTATAAGATTTGCAAAGTTATTTGTTGGCCATAAACTGTTTCATAGCCCTTTAGGATTTGCAGATTTTTTTAATATTCTATCTTTGCGCTTTATAAAAGAAAATACTATCATCTATGAAAAGAAGGTGTGATATCGCTAGATACAATCTTGCTACCTCTAGTCCAATTAACTTTTCTTCTCTATCTTTTTCTGTATATTTGCCGTCAAAGACTGTGCACATAATAAATATGTATAAATAAAGTGGGTCTCTATATCTCAGTCTCCTTTGAGGGGTTATATGACCTATGGATTGCCCATTTAATAAGAATTTGTATTGCACTGATGTGATGCATTTCATTATCCACTGAATCCATTAGGAGCAAACCCCATTTTGCGAGTAGTGCATGAATAAATTCCAACTCAACTCTATCATTGACCTTACTCATATCCATTTTGATCGCCATAAATTTGTTCGACGTGACTTGTTTGTCCTCAATCCATGAAGCATTTTGTGTGCATCAAAATATTATCTGAAATCAATTGTCGTACCACATAGACTGATTGTGCCTCATAGATTAACTTTAGTAGGAAATTCCTCATATTTTGCCACAGAAATATGAGAAATGTTATATCCTTGATTACAAAGATTTATTGGCTGTAGCTCCGTCAACCTTGTAGGTATTTCTATTTGGGGAATCAAAGAGATATTTGGGATGTTCAGCCTAACATCTAACTTCCCTATCGGCAAAAATATGTTAACTAGATTAAGAATAATTGCTTTAATTATAGGCTAAGCATGTTGGAAAAGTAGAGATGCCATCCCATTCGGCTCTGATGTCTTCTTTGAATGCATCATAAATAATGATTATCAGACTTCCTCTTTTGCAACTGCCATTATTAGTCGGCAGTTTATCTGATCTATTATACTTACTGAAATCACTTGTGAGAAGCTCTCAAAATCCAATAGATTTAAATAGATCCTTAAAATAATTCAATGTCACTTTTTCCATACTCATTTCATCTGTTATCCATTATCCTCCTTCATCATGTAAACCGATGATCCTATTCTTGGAATCTTGTTGTGAATATTGGTTAGACCCCACTATTTCTAGTATTCTGTGAATAAGCATGGAAACAAAGTATGTCATTCCTCATATGCCAAAGCCTTATCCGATATGCATCTTATCATTTGTTTCTATTCTTCCCTGCCATGAAATCAGTTTTCTTAAAGCTAGGAATTCAATCAATTTAGAGTTTCTTATCAAATTATTGAAAATCATTCATGTTCTTATATTTCTTTAAGTTCATCTATATTCTCATGGTTTTTAGTATTCTCATTCAAATCTTCAATAATAAACCAAGTTTATGTCCTTAGTATTCCATACCTTGGAAATCTTTCCCATGCCTACTTTATTTTTTGGGGAATGGATCCCCATTCACAAAATTCAGAACTAGTTTTTGACTTTTTCCCTTAAAAATTATTTTTCCACACCAACCATTCTATTACTAGTGTACATAATGCAAACAATATGGTCATCTATTTATATAAAGGAGAATTTTAGTCCCTCTTATTTATCCACGTCAGATAATATGTTATCTGGGTATTGACACGTGTCCAATTGGACTTTATTATTTTTCTTGGCCCAAACTTTGTGTAACCCAAAGCCTGTCCAGAAGTGGATCTGTCGTTCATCTCTCTCTGCCTCTTGCAAAGTTAGGGTTTTGCGGTTGAAGCCGCCATAGATTTTTCTCTAAACTTCTTTCATCGCGTCGATTGATTTTTAGGGTTCATCCCATTCTTTGTTTTCTGCCATTCGGGAGACTGTCTTGCTTAATTGGTGTAACGCTTCCATTTGTTTGGATTTCTATTATGCCCCTTGGCTTTTTTTATATCCATCTATCAAACTAATCCACTTACAAATCCATCGTATTAATCATGTTCTTAATTCTTTTGCCACTGCCTCAAATTCAATGTGTGGTTATCTTCTCAGAGTCAGTGTATCTGTAGGTAAAAAAATGTATGTTTTCCCCTCTGAAAACCATCTTATATCTTCCCCTCAATCATTATAAGCTCTCTCTTTCTATTTTGATGATTTATTTTTCATTCTTTTGTTGATCTGCTATATTTCATGGATCATTTTGTCTGCAATGCATCTCTAATCTCTTTTGATGTATGTTCCCAGAATATCTTAGAGATCTCTCGCAGTTGCTGGGGTTGGAGAGTCTTATGGTCCTGCAACGACAAGCTAAGGCTCGCTTTTATCTGTGATGGGAAACCAAAGGTATCGAGTTTAAGAAGTTGAGGCGGTGATGCCGTGCAGAAGCTCCGCCAGTGGAATATGAGGACGAGCCAAGCTTCTGTTCACAACCCTGGAGATGAGCCCACGAGGATCACTGGCGTCAAGAGATATATTAACGAAGGATGTGCGGATGGAGATTCGTGGAAACTGAAATTCTCTGTTTCTTTCTTGAGGGAAGAAAACATAAAAGATTCCACAGCCTTCGTTAGGAAAAAACCTCCTAAAAGACCAAAGAAGAGACAATAAGTTTTCAGAATCAAATGAATGTAAGTTTCCATCTTATTTTGTTTCTTAACATTTTCATTCCTTGTTGGTGACTCTTTTCACCGGATTGTGGCTAGCAGAGGAAGTAACAACAGCCTCTTATGATTTATGACGTTCCTGAGGCTGCGGAAACATGATCAAAGGTGTGCTTCCTTGGTTTCTTCAGTTTAGAGTCCACGAAATTCATGTTCTATTTACTTAGTGTTCTACTTTTGAATCATTTCAGTGTAAAAAAGAATAAAAAATATAGCATTATTCCAATTTTAGTCAATGAAACTATTTTACTTATGTCTTCTATGGCAATTTCAAAATCGGATTTTCAAACTAAATAACAAAATAACAAAACGTAAATTGTAGTCAATGGAAAGTTATAAAAACCAACATAATACATCATAGTCAATTTATGGCAATGGAGTTTTCTAAAAACCAACATAATACATTTAAAATTCTTCATTTAATTCCACAAACACCAAAACTCTACATTGTAAATCCTACAAGTTCATCATACATATACACTATGTCCCAATCAGATATTGTATTTACACATCCGGACAACTAACAAACAACCTCACAAATAATGTAAACAAAATATCATATTCTATGCGTAGCGCAAGTTTCCCCAAGATAATCTTCATCCCCCAGAGATTGAGTGTTTTTTTTCTTCATTTGAGTAGAATATAATTTGAGTAGAGTATGTATCTTCATCCAATTTTTACCAAAAAAAAAGTTATCTTCATCCTCTTTGTTTTATATTTCGAGATTCATAACTGCATGTTTCATGTAACTACAACAACTATTTGAAACCAAATTTTTTTTGCAAAACTTATATGACCTATTGTTACAGTTAAACTAGAAAAAAAATGAGAGAAACTAAAAAATATATCACTAAAAGTTTATAATAATTAGATAAGTATATAATATCTAAATAAATAAGTAAGATAAATAGATAATTTTTTGAAATTAATGCTATTTTTAGTTAATAGTAAATCAAAAAATTTTAAAATTGTATTATGAATTTATTTACTTGTCCGCCCGTAGGGTGGGTTTACCCTAGTTGTTATAATAAAACTCAATCTTCCACTCGTTCCTTATGGATCGGTCGTGACCATTTTATCATATCTAAAATGTAATTGAAAATTTTAAGAAAAGTTAAAATCTTGTTTTGTCTCTATGAGAAAAAATTTCCGGCGATAGCTTATCGTCCATTTGCCATCTATAACTCTAAATTCCCAACTTAAGATCCACATATAAAAAAACCTTTTAAATTGCTTCTCTGCTAAGCTATATGAATTAGTCTGATGGAAACCCTGATTCAAGACCTCTTTTTCTTATCTTCGAATGTAAACCTTTTACGAGCCTAATGTTTTTATTTTATTTTTCAGAACACTTGTACCTCAATAGTTTTTCCATTAGAGCCTGGTTTGGGTCATTCAAGATCACAAGTCCGTTTATTTCTCTTTCTCTTCAGTGCTGATTGTATGAAAACCAATGTAACATATAAACACTTCTTCAAAGTTTTGTATCTAAAAAGTTATATATAACTTCCATCTTTGTGCAAACTTTAAGACTTTAATATTTTTTTTGCTTATTCATAGACTTACGTATCGTAAGAACCGTACTCCTCCCATAGAGATTGCCTCCAAGCATGATGATACTTAATATTTATTGAATTCATGAAAGATAAGTAGTCAAATAAGTAGATGTGATATAAAAACACTTATAGAAATTAGAAAGCATTAACTTTTATTTTCCCAGTCCAAACCCCCGATGCCATTTGTTGGCACCCTTCCAGCATTGTTGAGAAATTCATGCTCAGCTACATTTTTTCATCTAACCATCGATGGTAAAGGAATCCAAAAACTGTCTCAGTGTCGTTTCCACTTCCAATGCTCTTCTACCATTATTGAACCTTAAGGGTGGGATAAAACATGTAGTCATAGACATTGCAAAGTGTGCAAGAATGTTAGTTGTCTTTCAGCTTCAGTAAGCATATAACCTCTCAAGCTCCTGAAAAATGGACGTGCTGATGAAAATATTTCCAAGCCTCTCCTTTAAAAACATTGTTATCTCTTCCTACCTCCTTGAATTTACAGGTTGAGACCCATCTTGGTATTCATTTTCCAATCTACAAGTCTTCCTTATATCCTTCTTGGACAAGGGAAACACAAGTATCACTCGCATCCTCTGCTCTCATGTACGTAATTCGACTGGTAATAAACCTTATAGTATGAAAATAACACTCATCAAATGTCAACTAGAGTCGACGCAAGCAAATATCTAATTTAAGCAGTTTTTGACAATTTTACTACACTCTGAATTTAGAAATAAAGAATCGAGAATCGAGAATTTGAACCCAAGTGTTGATAAACCAGTAAATGATAGAACCAGTAAGATAATTTATTTATGATTGCGCACGAATGAAGCTGCCTCATCTCATAAATCAGGACAACTGGACTGAAAACCAGTGACATTGGAACAAAAGTACAAATGAAGTGCTACGTGATATCTCAGTGAGTAAAACTCTATGAAAATGTCAAACCATACTCAAAGATTTTGTTGAAGATTTGAAACCGAAAACCTGCCAAACCTTGTTTCTTCCACTGTTATATTCCATAAAAAGTATCATGTTTTTGGGATAACCTCTTTTGGGTTTGTTGGACCTTTCTATTTCATGGTCTTCCCATTTCCATTGGAGCGAACCACACTTTTTGGTGAGACTTTTTTGCGAGGAGAAAACATCAATTGAACAATCCATCTTCGATGATCCTCATACCATAAGTGATGCCGATTTGAAAAGTTCTTACAAACTCCATGTCTCTTCTCCAAATAAAAATTTGTTTCGGCCTTTGTCTCAATCACAAGTGCTTCTACATTCCCCCGTCCTATTAACTTCTCAATTCCTATATCCTTATCATCTTGAGAAACTCATGACCATTCTCTAACTCAAAACCATTGCCTAAACTATCCTAAATATCATCCTGAGCTACCTCCACGAGCATCTCATCCTCCTCTAAAACCTCATTCACCAAATCTAACTCATCCTCTCCTACTACCAATTCCATACATACCTTAGTATCATCAAATTGATTTGTTTGGAAAGAGTGTCACACACAACAGTTTAAGCATGCAGTTGATGACCTTCTTGCTAATTCTGCAGCTCCTATTTCCCTATAATCTTTGGATGTTTCATATCTTGTTGAACGATGAGTAGATAAAATCTTCTCCATGATGTTTGCTCCTTCTATCTCCACTCATTCTCGTATCTCATTTTGACATCTTGCTCCATTTGAATTCTCTCTTGATAACTCAGATTTTTAAGATCATCTCCAACCCTGTTCTATTTTCTATAGAGATACATTCGTATCTCATATGATATCAATCATATATTCTCATTTATTATGTAAATATTCTCTTAGGGTTCACACCTTGTACTATATATATCTTGTAACACTCATTACGTCTAATATACAAGCAATACACTTTCATCCTAAACCTATATGGTATCAGAGCTCCTCTTTCCAGGACCTCTCTAAATCCCTTTTTTTTCAGATCCATTTCTTCTTACTCAAGTTTAAGACATCATGTCTGAAACTCCTACTGAAACTGTTATAAACACCACTGCTGCCCCAAACACAGTTGTCTCTGTCAACATGGTCAATGTGACAAAGTTGTCCTCGACCAATTACATCACCTGGAGTGCTCAGGTCAAGTCACTCCTCCGTGGCTATGATCTCCTGAAGTTCCTTGACTCCACCACCATTCCGCCGCCGAAGACCATTCTCAATTCCGGTAGCGAAGAAGCAAACCCTGCTTTCACCATTTGGAGCCGTCAAGATAGTCTCCTCTACAGCAACATCATGGGATCCATCGAAGTTGCTCACCAACCCCTCATTGCAACCGCTGCCACCGCCCTCGAAGCTTGGAATCTTCTTGCATCCACGTATGCAAAACCGTCTCGTGGACACATCAAGCAACTAAAACAACAACTAAAACAGAGTGTCAAAGGCTCCAAATCGGTTGATGAGTACATGCAGCTGATCAGGGCCAAAGCTGATGCACTTGCTCTTCTTGGAAGCCCGGTGGATCCTGAAGACCTCACTGACATCATTCTTGATGGCCTTAACGATGACTACAAAACCATCATTGACTCTGTTCAAGGCCGTGACACTCCCATTGCCTTTGCAGAGCTCCATGAAAAGCTAATCAACAGAGAACTCACCATCTCTGCACTGGTGCAAACTCCTCAGCCGGTTCCCATCACTGCGAATCATGCACAACAACGACCCACAAACTGGCGTCAAAACAATGGAGGTAACCAATCCAACCGCAACAACAATGGTGGTCAACGGTTCTCTCGTCCTTATCAAGGCCGTTGTCAAGCCTGTGGTACGCAAGGACACAGTGTCAAGCGCTGTCCCATGTTCCGCCTTGTTACCCAAGCATCTTCTTCAGCTCCACCGTATCAGGGAAACAACCGCAGCTATTCACAGCCACAACCACAGGCTTACAACGCCATGACTCAAGCACCAGAAACACCCTCTTGGCTTCTAGACTCCGGCGCCTCTCACCACCTCACCTCAGACCTTGCCAATCTCTCTCTTCACACTTCCTACACTGGTGGAGAAGAAGTGCAAATCGGCAACGGCATGGGACTCGAAATTGCCAACACTGGTTCCTCTCTACTTCCCTCTGCTACTCGACCTCTAAAACTACAAAACGTTTTACATGTTCCGAGTATTGCAAGAAACTTACTCTCAGTTCATAAACTATGTAATGATAACAATGTCTCTGTGGAATTTTTCCCACACTTGTTTCAGGTCAAGGATCTCAAATCGGGGGCTCAAATGATCAGAGGAAAGACTGAAGATGGAGGATACATATGGCCAAATCGAGATTCACAACCCTCAGCCTTCTCAACCTCACTTAAAAGTCCTCTCTCAATCTGGCACTCAAGATTAGGACACCCATCTATCCCTATTTTA